GGGGGGGGGTGCAGGATCACTGGGAGAGCCCCATCAAAACCCAGGAGCTCAGAGATGCCTGAGGCAGAAGCTCTAAGGTGCAGCTGGGCCAGACAACAGAGGGCCTCCCCGTGGAAACCTTTCCTCTCTAAGCCAGTGAATCAGAGCCACAAGTAACCAGTCTACCCCCAGAGGAGGGACAAGGATGTGCGGAGAGACCCTTCCAAGGCTCCGACCCAAAGGTGAAAGTGGGCCAGGAACGGTGAGGAAAGGTCCTTCGGAAACTCAGCCCCCATGCTAAGCACAAGGCGATGCTAAAGGAATTAAAACCAGCGGTCATTCAAGTGACCAGAGCAACAACAGAGCCCAAACACGGCCCAACTCACACCAGACCAACTCCCCTCCAACACTAATGGCCTGGCAGAAAAAGGCAGGCCTGTTTCCAAGCATAAACACAAACGGCCTTCATCTCCAAAGTCAGTATGCTATGTCCAGCATTCAACTGAAAAAGTACTACTCGTTAAAAAAAAGCAAGGAAAAAGAATTATCTCATGTCAAGAGACCAAATAATCAGTAGAATCAGACTCAGAGATTCTAAAGTAAGTCTGATTAATATGTTAAAGGACTTCATGGAAAACGTGGACAGCATGCTTGAACAGACAGGATATTTTGGCAGTGAGATGGAAACCAGAAGTGGAAACGCTGGAGGAAAAACAAAAACACAGAAACAGAAATGTACGATGCTTCCGAATGGCTCATGGACCTGACTTTGTGGATCTGACACAGCAGAAGAAAAAAATCAGTTAACCTGAAGGAAATCTCGGAAAGAAATTTCAGAAGGAAACAGAAATTTCCCAAGCTGAAACACGCAGAGAGTTAATAAACACGACATCCAAAAGCAGTAAGACAGGGGCGCCTGGGTGGCTCAGTCGGTTAAACATCCGACTTCGGCTCAGGTCACGATCTCGCGGTATGTGAGTTCGAGCCCCGCGTCGGGCTCTGTGCTGACAGCTCAGAGCCTGGAGCCTGTTTCAGATTCTGTGTCTCCCTCTCTCTCTGCCCCTCCCCTGTTCATGCTCTGTCTCTCTCTGTCTCAAAAATAAATAAACGTTAAAAAAAAAAATTAAAAAAAAAAAAGTAGTAAGACAATTATCAATCTGGCACACGTGTAACTGGAATCTCAGAAGCAGAGAGACAGAGAATGGGACAGAAGAGATCTCTGACGAGACAACAGCAGAGAATTCTTCCAAAATAACGAAGGGCAACGAACCACAGATGGGAGAAGCCCAGGGAACCCCAAGCAGGATCAGTATCCACTTCCACCAGGCCAAAAACCATATGCCTGGACGTATCATATTCCAAGTTCTGAAAATCAACGATAAAGAGAAAATCTTGAAGGCACTCAAGGAAAAAAAAAAAAGACCCATTCCACAAAGGAACAGAGAATTATAACTGACCGCTCGTCGGAAACTATGGAAACCATGGGACAATGGGGTGACACATCTGGTGTGCCGAACCATACAAGGAGGGGGACCCAGGAACGATGTTTAGTCCCACACTTAGCGGATGAGTGGCATCTTGAAGATGAGAAGTCCTCATCAGGAAATCAGAGGGAAGGGAACGGGGGAGGTGGGAGGGGGAGAGTACGCCAGAGAGAGGGGGCGAAGCCAAGAGGGAAAGAGCCGACGGGTCCCGACGGTTCCATGCGGCTGGCAAGTAAGGACACAGAACAGGTGAAATCCAGATCACAGGAGGACAGACTACGGAGTTTAATGTTGCCGGAGGGCAAAGAAGGGCCAGTGAAGGGGTCTAATGAGGGAGAGACCCAGGTCAGAGTTGTTTCTAAGAGGTCACTTTAGCTGCAGAGTAAAAGGTAAACTAGGCGGGGAGGGAAGGGAAAAGACTCCAGGTGCGAGAGGAAGAACTCCCGAGAATGCGGCCGGGGCAGAGAGGGGTGGACGGATGTGAGCGCTCACTGGCTGCAGTCCTCTGTGACAGCTCCGTTACGCTCTCAGCAGTAGAGCGCTGAAACCCCCAGGCCCCAGGAGCCCGTTCCCCACCAGCGGGGCAGCCAGGGGACAAACGAGCGGACACCAGTAACGAAGTGCGTGTGGGAGGGGAGGCAGGAGAAGTCGTCCCTGTGGAGGACGAATGAGACATGAGGCATCAGGGTGAGACCCTGGAGCTCAGAGAGGGCCCTGGGAGTCTCTTCCTGTTCCACTGGGGTCAGAAAGACGCTCCTCCCAGAGGCCCCGCCTCCTTTCTCTCTCCAGAACCCCGAGAGCGGTTCTCCAGGCTTTCTCTTCCAAGCCCAAGCGGCGATGAGGGGAGAGGCTCCCTTCGCCAAGCCAGGAACCTGGACGCGCCGCCCTCTTCCCTGATCCCAAGCCCTCCTGACTGTGTGCAGGTAGCCGGAGTGAGAGCGAAGGGAAGGAGCAGGGAGAGGAGCAGAAAAGAGGAGGGGGGAAAGGAAGGACAAGCAGCACGGCCGCCTCGGAACGAAACCTCCTGTTACGCTCTTCAAGCCTCTGCCCTCTCCCCCGGGAGGTGGGTAACTAGCCGCCGTGTGGTGTCACTGAAAGGGACACGGGTGCACGCTGGTCCCGGGACAAACGTGAGCTCCACGTGGGGGGGGCGGTTCCCTCAGCATCTCGTAGCCCGCTTCCTGGTGCACGCACTGAGGCGCTCAACGGCCCCCTCCCCAGGCTGTGGGAAAAGCAAACGAGATGCCGCATGCGAACACCCGGGACGCACCTGGCACGGAACAGGTGCTGGCCAAATGCGAGTTCCCACCCCCGTGACCTCTCCCCAACTCTTCCGGGGCTT